TTGACTTTGTTGTCCTTAAGCCATTTTGCCACAACTTTGGAAGTATGCTTGGGGTCATTGTCCATTTGGAAGACCCATTTGCGACCAAGCTTTAACTTCCTGACTGATATCTTGAGATGTTGCTTCAATTTATCCACATAATTTTCCTTCCTCATGATGCCATCTATTTTGTGAAGTGCACCAGTCTCTCCTGCAGCAAAGCACCCCCACAGCATGATGCTGCCACTCCCGTGCTTCACAGTTGGGATGATGTTCTTCGGCTTGCAAGCCTACCCCTTTTTTCTCCAAACATAACGATGGTCATTATGGCCAAACAGTTCTATTTTTGTTTCATCAGACCAGAGGACATTTCTCCAAAAAGTAAGATCTTTGTCCCCATGTGCAGTTGCAAACCGTAGTCTGGCTTTTTTATGGCGGATATGGAGCAGTGGTTTCTTCCTTGCTGAGCGGCCTTTCAGGTTATGTCGATATAGGACTTGTTTTACTGTAGATATAGAAACTTTTGTACCTGTTTCCTCCAGCATCTTCCCAAGGTCCTTTGCTGTTGTTGTGGGATTGATTTTCACTTTTCGCACAAAAGTACGTTCATCTCTAGGAGACAGAACGCGTCTCCTTCCTGAGCGGTATGACAGCCGCGTGGTCCCATGGTGTTTATACTTGCGTACTATTGTTTGTACAGATGAACGTGGTACATTCAGGTGTTTGGAAATTGCTCCCAAGGATGAACCAGACTTGTGGAGGTCTACAATTTTTGGCTGATTTCTTTTGATTTTCCCATGATGTCAAGCAAAGAGGCACTGAGTTTGAAGGTAGGCCTTGAAATACATCCATCCACCTGCTGATGTAGGTGATGGAGTTGATGCAGGTGATGTAGGTGATGGAGTTGATGCAGGTGATGGAGGTGATGCAGGTGATGGCCGTAATGCAGGTGATTTAGAGGTTGGAGTTGATGCAGGTGATGGAGGTGATGCAGGTGATGGAGATGATGCAGGTGATGGAGGTGATGCAGGTGATGGAGGTGATGGAGGTGATGGAGGTGATGCAGGTGATGGAGGTGATGCAGGTGATGGACGTGATGGTGTTGATGCAGGTGACGGAGGTGATGGAGGTGATGCAGGTGATGGACGTGATGCAGGTGATGGAGGTGATGCAGGTGATGGAGGTGATGCAGGTGATGGAGTTGATGCAGGTGATGGAGGTGATGGAGGTGATGCAGGTGATGGACGTGATGGAGGTGATGGAGGTGATGGACGTGATGGAGATAATGGAGGTGATGGACGTGATGCAGGTGATGGAGGTGATGCAGGTGATGGACATGATGGACGTGATGGAGATGATGGACGTGATGGACGTGATGGAGGTGATGGAGGTGATGCAGGTGATGGAGGTGATGGAGGTGATGCAGGTGTTCCAGAGTCACCAAGGTCATTTGTAGTAGGAATAGGTTGCTGAGCCAGGCTGAGGTTGTGAACTAACAGTCTTCTACTGTATGTACTTATGATCTGCTCAACCATCTAAAATAAATTGTTAATGCAATTTAAATAACATCAACAATAGACACAGCACCCATTAGACAAATAACATCAACAATAAACACAGCACCCATTAGACAAATAACATCAACAATAAACACAGCACCCATTAGACAAATAACATCAACAATAAACACAGCACCCATTACACAAGTAACATCAACAATAAACACAGCACCCATTAGACAAATAACATCAACAATAAACACAACACCCACTAGACAAATAACATCAACAATAAACACAGCACTCATTAGAAAAATAACATCAACTATAAACACAGCACCCATTAGACAAATATCATCAACAATAAACACAGCACCCATTACACAAGTAACATCAACAATAAACACAGCACCCATTAGACAAATAACATCAACAATAAACACAGCACCCATTAGACAAATAACATCAACAATAAACACAGCACCCATTAGACTGCCACATCCTTTGATACAAACAATAACAGCCATTTATACAGTGTGCGTGTGTGTGTGCCATGTGTGTGCCATACTTGTGTATGTATGTTAATGTGAATGTGAATGTGAATGTGAGTGTGTGTGTGTGTGTGTGTGTGTGAATTCAGACTAATACCAGCACACAATGTTCAGATGAGTAAACTGGGTGTAATTCCTGTGAAATGTATGGTAGTGAGACGTAGCTAACAGGGAACAAACACCATATCTGAACAATTCAACTAGAACAGGGACCTCCTAACCAGGCCACAGTACTGTTACATAACAGATAGAGGAAACCATAGTCAATAAAGAGACATATATGAAAACACACTTGTGCACACACACACATTACATTTACATTTACGTCATTTAGCAGACGCTCTTATCCAGAGCGACTTACAGTTAGTGCATACATTATTCTTTTTAATTTTCATACCCCATGGGAATCGAACCCACAACCCTGGCGTTGCAAACGCCATGCTCTACCAACTGAGCTACCTCCCTGCCGGCCATTCCCTCCCCTACCCTGGACGACGCTGGGCCAATTGTGCGCCGCCCCATTGGTCTCCCGGTTGCGGCCGGCCACAGGATCTCTAGTGTCACAGCTAGCACTGCGATGCAGTGCCTTAGACCACTGCGCCACTCGGGAGATCCTACACACACACACACACACACACACACACACACACACACACACACACACACACACACACACACACACACACACACACACACACACACACACACACACACACACACACACACACACACACACACACACACACACACACACACACACACACACACACACACACACACACACACACACACACACACTCAGGCATGCAATGCATGCAAATGTCAATGACAACGTCATGCTGCTTGCTTAGCGATTACCGCTTTCCCCTGATCAGCTCATGCAGTCTCGAACTCAGCCTTGCAAACCCACATGACCGCCCTCCTGAAGCATTCCAAGACATTGCGCTTTTGAAAAAGACCTTCTTCAATGGCACAAGGGGCAACACCTCAGGGTGAGGAGTGAGTTTCACACATCCCATCTTTTTTATTACACTTTTTACACAAACAAGCACACACACACACACGCACGCACACACACACACACACACACACACACACACACACACACACACACACACACACACACACACACACACACACACACACACACACACACACACACACACACACACACACACACACACACACACACACACACACACACACACACACACAGACACACACACCTTCCCTTAGCTAGTCATACATATTTTACAGACGGTAGAAACCTAATTTAATGAAGACACGCATGCGTGCACACACACACACACAACAACAGTTTGTTTGGTGACCTTTTGAGGTTTTCACAGGAAATCTCTCTCAGCGCAAAGAGGGCACACACACACACACACACACACACACACACGCACACACACACACACACACACACACACACACACACACACACACACACACACACGGGTAGTGGATGAATAGGTATCTGGGTTTAGTAAATCTGGACCTAAAATAAATGTCACTGAATGATACAGTTCGGTGAAGGAGACAGAGAATCCTCACATGAATTAACAGAGCAAAAGATATGATAGAATAATTTGGCAGACTTCCTTCAGAAAAACATCAGTAATCTATTGCACTCTTGCTCAACCTCTACTAGGTTCAATGACCATGCTTTACTTGCCTCTGACATCAAGATCATCATGGGAATTTAATCTGTCAAACTAGCTAGTGTTTTGGTTCATGAGCTCGTCAGCTAGCTAACATTGTCTAGTGGCTAACTTGCTAGTTCAAATGAAGCAGAACTGACAAAGATTTGAATATTACAAACTTGTATTAATCATTGCAGGAACATTAAGACTTTACCACACAATTGCAAACAAAGACTTTGAAATGGAATAACATGTATTCCAATCTACAGAAAGCCTACAGGTGTATTTTAGTCCACTATTATTTTGCTCAGGGTTAGATTTCCCAATTGACTGGGGGTTCATTGATATTGATATTTCAGTTACTATAGGGATGTCCAGTCCCCCTATAATTATACCCTGTGCTCTAACTTAGCATACTTCGCATTTACCTACCCATGTATTTCAGCATCCATGTCCCCATGTTCTTGCCTGTAAGCATGGCATATGGGTTGAGGCATACAGGGCAAAACCCTAGCATGCCACAAACACATGTTCCTGCACTTGGCCATCACCTGTACGGTGCATACATACACCATAGAGATCCTTATAAATGACTAATTCCTCATTCTATGTCATACACATTCTGCTACAGGACCACCATTGCTATTGCTTTGTAGAACACTAGTTAGCCAACTAATAATGTTGTGCTGTTGCATGAACAGTGATAACTAACCCTGTACCCTTTCATCTGCGTTGTGTGATGGTAGCTATATTGTTGAAAATAGGTTTATTGTGTGAACAACAAAGGGCTCATAACAACCACAATATATGTGTAATTTATGTGTCTCTCAGTAATTGTTCCTTACATGTTGATGACTATGTTCTGAGAATGAAATGCAATCAGCGACATAAGCTTCCTCCTCTACCTCTCTGCAGTACAGATTCTCACTGGCAGTGGACACAAGAACACCCATTTGGAGATTACATTAAATTGCAAAGTTATCCCTAAATGCTTATGACAAACTATCTCCAGAACCAGCCGTAGCCAGTGTTATGGCTAATCTTTTGAACACTAGCCTAAAGATGGAATGTGTTGTTAGTTACGAGGTCATCACTAGAGCATCATGGGTAGGTCACATTCACTTGGAGGTATCTGGATGTACAAGCACCGCTGTATCACAGATATAACAAAGAGCATCTTTGGCTGTATGCTAGCTAGCTATATGTGAATAAACCACCAGACTTCAGCAAGTAAGTCTGGTGGTTTATTCTGAGATGGCATCTGTGATGTTTTCTATAGTGGGTTTGCCTGGCTGGAAGTCCAGACATAGCCTCCAGCCCTGCTACGCCTCCAGCTCTGGCTGCAGCTCCCTCATGACCCAAGGCTCATTATGGGTGTTGTAGGAGACCAAGGCATCATACTGATTAGCTGTATGCCTGTTTCTCTGCTTGGTGTCGTAGAGATAAGCCAGGAAGAGGTGGTAGGCATAGACCACTTGCCATGTCAGGAGATGGTAGAGGGAGGACCCCAACAGGGTGAGGAGGACCAGGGAAGTGGTTGAGATGAAGTAGAAGAAGCCTATGTATACCGAGCAGGAGTGGGTGTCAAGGTCCAACAGTTTGGGGTCCTTAAGATTGAATGGATATTTGCAGAGATATTGATGTACCCAAACACAAGAACTTGCATTTGGGTTGTGTTTATCACCCACTGAATGAACCAAGCATGGCTGCAGTCACAATTGAACAAGTTATTATTCAGGTCCATGTAACTCAAAGAAGGGAGAGAACGCATCACACTCTCATTGATAGCTGTAAGTTCATTATTTCTTACCTGCAAGTAAAACACTTGAGATAAGTTTGCTCCTATAAGGAAATCTAAAGACTGGTGTCGAAATGTTGACAGTAATATTTTCCTGAGTTCTGGGATTGGTTAACACAGCTCTGGTGTGAGAGTTTTTAATATATTGTTGCTGATGTCAAGGTACATCAACTGTTGTGTGTAAATGAATGTGTCTGGGTGCAGAGATTCAATATTGAGATTCCCTAACCATATTGTCAATAAAGACTTCAGACCTTCAAAAAAGTTTGATAGTAGATTATGCATTCCTTCTGGACACTGGCTGTAGATTTTCAGATATTCGAGAGATGACAAGTGAATGAAGGGTGGAGGGTTTAGCGAGGGTTTGTCAAACGTTTTGCCTTCTGAAGACTCTCTACTTGCTCCTGAAGGGATTTTATTTCCAGGCAGAGTGAGGTTTGTACATGTGACTCAGAAAAGACCTGTCGGCCACATCCCATTCCATGATTCCATTTTGGACACAGTAGGAGAGGTCTAAATTTTTAAGGTTAGGAAGAACATCTGCTGTGATACTGAACCTTTCCAATGGATTCCAAGATACATCCAGCACCATCAGCCTTTTGGAAGTTGATTCAAAAGAGGTACATTTGTTCCTACTAATGTACAACTCCTGCAATTTTGTTAAACGTAAGAGGGGCTGAACATCCTTTAGATTATGTATTTTGTTGCTGCCTAAGTTCACTACCAGTAAACTTGAGAGAGACTGAAGGGATAATGAATCAATAGTTATGATCAGGTTGTTTTCCAGGTGCAGCACTGAGAGGTTGGCCAGGCCCTGAAATATGTGGTCTGAGATGGTGATGAGTTTGTTATAGCTCAGGTCTAGCTGCTGCAGAGGCAGAATTGTTGAAAGCTCCGTCTTCAACATGAGAGATCACATTACTGGACATGGTCCCGAATTTGAGGAATTTTAGACCTTTAAACCCTTTGATCACTGAAATGTTATTACAGAAAATGTCTAAAGATCTCACTATTGGGTGAAAGTCTTCTGGTATGGTTTGTAGGTTCCTATTTTTGCAGAGTACCTTATTCTTAACAGGTGTGCAGTGTTTCAGTGAATACCCCCTTACTGGATTAACAAAAAGGGAGACATAAAGCAGAAAAATCCATTCCTGGCAGCCATCTTGAGTTACAACATTAGGAATTGAGTGGCTGGTGCACAACATACTGTATATTGGAGCCTGGTGAGGTTCCCCTCAAGATGTCTTCAATGTAGACTTCAGATCTAAAGTAGACAAAAAGAGAGACATATTTTTAAAAGTTGTTTGAAAGAGCTGTTAAATTATTGAGACACACAGTTCCTTGAAAAACTATTAACCATCTTAAATGAACATTTTAAAATGTTTGTGCCTAGTAAGCATTCAAAAATGTAACAGATTAAATCAGTTCAACAGTGAAATATTTTTTTGATCTTACTTAATAAGGGGCGGTTTCTAAGACACAGATTAAGCCTAGTCCTGGACTAAATAGCAAGCTCAATGTCTAGGACTAGGTTGAATCTATGTTTGTGGAAACCGATAATGATCTACACAATTTACTCCACACCTTCAAATTGATTTTCTACATCAACAACATCACTAACAAACATACAATATCTGAACTACCTCTACAGGTAATCCAATGTAATAATTTACAAGACATATGCTCTATTGTGGTAGAACATACTTGACTAAAGCATCATGTTAACAAACCAGAGGAAAATAATAAAATAGACAGAGGTAAATGCTGGTTAAATTTTTTTCTCTAAAAGAGATAACATCTTCTGGACAAAGACACAAAATCACACAGAAGACAGGCAAGCCAAAACAGCAATGTAGATGAATATCTAAAACAGTAATTTTTTTTATTCGAAATAATCAGAAGAAACAATATTTTGCAGAGTGCTTCCCCCACCAGCATAGCACTGTGGTAAGGGTTGCCAGCTCAAGCACAGAAAAAGAAGGGACACATAGCACTGCCAGGTTAGGGGGGAGGTAAGGTGGGTGTGTTTGGGATACGTGTCACGCTCGTTGAAGGACGGGTCAGACCAAGGCGCAGAGTGAAATGCATACATGTTTATTTATCAAAATAAACACACGAACAAAACAACGAAACGTGAAGTCCTCAGGCTGAACACAAAACAAGCCTATACACGGAACAAGATCCCACAACTAATGATTGCAAACAGGCTGCCTAAGTATGATCCCCAATCAGAGACAACGAGCGACAGCTGTCTCTGATTGGGAATCACACCCGGCCAAACATAGAAATACAAACCTAGAATGAGAACATAGAAATAACAACATAGAACTCCACACCCTGACTCAACATACTAGAGTCCCATAAGTCAGGGCTTGACAATACGCTTCCTTTTAATAGGTTATGGTACACAAAGCACACACGTGTTCCTTAAAGGTTCAATACGAAACTCCCTGTTTTACTCCGAAATACAGAATAATTCAGTATTTCTAAGGAATAGGTGGCAACCTTAGAGATGTTTGAGTGAATGAGGAACTGAGAAAAAGTTGGAGGACAATATGCGACATCAGATGACGGAAAAAGATAACTAACTGCATGTTTGTTCCTTTTTCCACAACTTCCCTTGGTGACTCACCCCAGGCTGTTAGAGTGAAGGGTAAAATACTTTTGAATCTGAGACAGACAAGGATGAAATGTCTGCCATCAGAGCTTGTATGTGGGAAGACTCCCTCCTTAGTGGACCTGAAAAACACACATGCACCTGTATGAACACACACACACACACAGACACAGACACAGACACAGACACAGACACACACACACACACACACACACACACACACACACACACACACACACACACACACACACACACACACACACACACACACACAATCCAAAATGGCACCCTGTTGCCTAAATAGTGCACATATGGCTACTATATGGTTTACTTTATAGGGAATAGGGTGCATTTGGGACACAGAATATGTGTGAGCAGGAGTGAGAAAATGATGTCAAACAGTGTAGGGCCAAGCATGCACCCTTGCCTCACACCGCTCACTATGGGGAATACCTGTAGGACAAAGGTTTGGCCTGACAATGTCAGTTTGGGCCTATCACCTAACCACAAAAGACAGACCTGTGTGGATGTGCATCCGTGTGTGTGTGTGTGTGTGTGTGTGTGTGTGTGTGTGTGTGTGTGTGTGTGTGTGTGTGTGTGTGTGTGCATGCAGGTGCATGTGTGTGTTTTCAGGGCTGTTTGTGGCTGGCCAGTGTATTTCACACTAACAGGCTCAGCTGAAAGGGAGATCATGGAAGAAGTGCAGAGAATTACTCAGCTAAAGCACATTATAGTTACACACCTGTATGTGTAGACAGACACAGGTTTGTGTTAACAGGATTTCCAGCAGCACCTTTGAAGTTCGGCATAACAGACGACACAGAGGACCCCTGGAGCCTCCCAAGTGTGTTTGTGTGTGTGTGCATGTGCATGTGTGGGACCTTGCCTGAGACTCCAAGACTTGTGTTAGCTCCCTGACCTAATGCCTAGCCTTTAGCGCAATGACCTAACATGATACTGTGGCATGTGGGAGACCCGGGTTCAAACCCAGTCAATCACACCCTCTTCCATTCTCACTGTGTATTCACCTGACAAAGTGACCATTTGAGGGCAGTGGTTCAGACATTAAGTTGCCAGGGGCTACTGTACTGTATATGTGGTTAAGAGTTGGGAGGGCTAACCACTACAACACAGTTTATTGTCCTTAAGAAAATATTATCATAATCTCATGTTTTATAGGGAACAGGGGGGGGGTGTCACATTTTGCAGTTATGTGATGTCCCTAGTTTGCTCTCCACCTCTTAGTTCCTGAATCACTCAGACCTATTTTCCCCATACTGACCTCCTCCTCCAAAAAGGACTAGTTGAAGTCTCTCTCTCAAGGTCCAAATATACACTGAGTGTACAAAACATTAGGAATACCTTCCTAATATTGAGTTGCACCCCCTTTTGCCCTCAGAACAGCCTCAATTCGTCAGGCATGGACTACAAGGTGTCGAAAGGGTTCCACAGGAATGCTGGCCCATGTTGACTCCAATGCTGGCTGGTTCCTTCCTAGGAAGAGGACCACCCTTCTCTAGGTTTCTTCCTAGGTTCCTGCCTTTCTAGGGAGTTTTTCCTAGCCACTGTGCTTCCACATCTGCATTGCTTACTCTTTGGGGTTTTAGGCTGGGTTTCTGTATAAGCACTTTGTGACAACTGCTGATGTAAAAAGGGCTATATAAAATCAATTTGATTGATGATTGATTCTGTATGTAATTTGCCATATGAAAAGTGTAATTAAATGTTGTGATGATGTATTCTCTTCCTTTTTTTATTTTGTGTGGATGTTTGGACACACCTACTCATTCAAGGGTTTTTCTTAATTTTTACTATAATTTACATTTACAAGAGTGTGCAAAGCTGTCATCAAGGCAAAGGGTGGCTATTCACTATTATTCTAGAATGTAGAAAATAGTAAAAATATAGAAAAACCCTTGAATGAGTAGGTGTGTCCAAACTTTTGACATGTAGTGTACATATATAAATATATAGTGTATGTGTGTGTGTTCCTCTCCCTCAGAAAGTGTGCCGTTGATAAAACCCTAACGTAAAACGGCCTCTCTTTCCCCGTCAATTTATATTTAGATGACCTACAACCAAGCTAACAAAACGTAAATGTGTCTGAGCAGCATTCCCCTGATATGAGGGAACTTCTGTGTGTGTGTCTGTCTGAGCAGGATTCTCCTGGGGCATTGTCTGTCAACCTGAGAGAACACAGACTAAGGGAGCAACAGTCAGTCTCATTTGAGCTAAAACGCTAAAACGACGTTTAGACAACTTTGAAAGCAACATTTGCACAATATCAGATGTGGTCAATTATGGTAGAGGTGGCTTCTTTGGGGTAGTCTGTCACTTATGTTGTTCACATACAGTTGGTCACGCACAGTTTCTTTTGGTAAATTACTACCCACTGTGAGGGCTGTTTTTACAGAGAAAATAAATCTCTAAGAGTTCTATTCTAGAATTCAGTTCTGAGTTCTGAGTGATCAGCTGATTGTGATGTCATCAATCGGAATGTTCAGTACTGAATATTTACACACGGGTGTTCCAGAGTACCTCGAAGGGTTAAGAGGAACAGAGTTAATGCACCTCAATGTGCTGCTAACATGATGTCTTATGGCATATCCAGAAATAGCTTGATGGATCTATGCACTACTTATGATCATTACTTATCAGTTAGTAGCTCTTTGAGAGCTTGGGTCTTTAAGGTTCTATCTGCATTTTTGTCAAAATGTAGTTTTTGACATAGCATTGTTCTGTTCAATGTTCTCTACCTGTATAGTACTCGAAATACCCCAATTCAAGTTGTTAAGTTCAAAAGAATACGAGATCAAAATCGCTGGCACCATTCAAATCAATAAGGTTTCGGAATATAAAAGCCAATTATCTCAGAATCATATTTTTGCAGATAGAATCTCATTGTCCCAAGCTCTCGTCTTAACATGATGTCTTCTGGCAAATCCCGACATGGCCTAATGGATCTATGCATTACTTATGATAATTAATGATCAGTTAGTAGCTCTTAACACACCATCTAAATTAGATAGAGATACAGGGATGGAATAGTGTGTATCCACAGTTGACACTATTGCTGTTCACGACTGTCACCTTTTAGTTTCCATAACACGGGACAACACGGGATATGGCTTGGAGACACTGAGGAAGTGTTTGTGTGTGTGTATGTGTGCGTGCGTGTGTGTGTGTGTGTGTGTGTGTGTGTGTGTGTGTGTGTGTGTGTGTGTGTGTGTGTGTGTGTGTGTGTGTGTGTGCATGAGCGTGCGTATGTAAATATTTGTCAAGGTAAGGACACAAATAACCATACTACATCTCTCTGGTGGGGAGATATACACACTAAAGATGAAAGACTGTGACAACTGCCTGTAGTCAACATCTGATGACCTTAAACATGATTGTGAGAGGACACACACACACACACACACACAGTCTTGTACAGCTAACCTAGTGGGAACACACAATTTAGTCCCATTCAAAATCATATTTTCCCTA